TTTAATGATTTAAGCATATGATATAGATCAATAATCAGAATGGAAAGACGGCCATTTCAAATTTCCTGAATTTAATTCCCATTTTGGAGTGAAGGTGGTAAAAGATAGATTCGTAAGTCAGGAGAACATCTCTGTGGAAACAGTGTTTGAGGGCTTGGAGGAAGCATCAAGAAGCTGATAAACATCGTTGCAGGAATGGGATATTGGAGCCAGATTGGGATGGTGAATGTTACAAGCACAGACAGAGGGAGTGGTGTATAAGGGAGCTCTTGATCCTTTAACCTAAGGTTTCTAGTGGGATGTTGAAAGCTCTGTCTAAGCTCTTTTTTGCAAGTCACTTTTAACAAATGATTTGGATGAAGCTTGAGTGTTAAGGTCACAAATAGGCTACCTGTCGACCACCCATGTTTAACTGGACCTGCCCACTGTTCATAAATTTTGAATAGAAGCCTGTCAGCATTTAAACATGAATAGATGTCTAGTAAAACTTCAGGTTCCTTTGTTTCTTACAAAAATCAGAATACTTTCGTCATATTTCTCAGGATAAAAAGCAGCTGGTGTTGAATAGAGGCTGTTTTTAGATGGAGCATTTGCCTTGTAGTTTACCACAGTTACCACCATACCCTGTTTGAAAGTCAATCTTTTTAGTCATTTATTTTGCCTGTCTGGGTCTCAAACTTTTAAACCCTCAGTGTTGGGGGTCTCTTCATTTCATCTGTGGAATGCACAAAGCTGGGAGAGATTGTGATTTCCTTGCATTACAGATTTGGGGAACAAAATGTCTTGGAGAGCTACAGGGCTCAAGAGGGATAGTAGAATAGTTACCATTTGGGAACAAAAGTTGGTGTTTGGTGTCTTATATATTTTTTTATTTATTTGTCACAAAAATAAATAAAAAAAATAATAAAAAATATTATTCTCATTTTATAGTTGTGGAAAATGAGTCTTAATGAGGTTAAAGAGTAATTTAAAGTTATGTAGCTAGAAGGTGACAGTATCAGAAATCATACCCAGATCTGCCATACTCCCATACCATGCTTTTTTCACATCACTAGCAATAAATGTTGTAATTGACCTTAGTTCTGAAATCTCAGCAGTATACTTAAAGAATTTGGGGCGTCTTCATTTGATAAAAGCATTTGTGATAAAGACTTATAGAGTAATAATAAATTAAGCTTGTTGCATCTAGTCATATGAGATATTTCTACAAAAAAATCACTGGCTTGCTATTGGTCTGCAGTAGTTGATGGACTGTATCCATTATGAGAGAATTATTACATTGTTTCATGTATAAACCAATTGGATTACTGGTCCCCACAGTTTAAATACCATATAGACAAAATATAGAGCTTGTTCAGGGAGGGTGGCAGAAATACTTAGGATTGATGTGTATGAGAAATTGTCAGAAGAATAGGAATAGTTATTAGTCAAGATTCTTTTAATTTCAAATGACTGGACCCACCCTAAATTGGCTTAATCAAAAATAGGAATTTATTGACATATGTAGCTGAAAAGTCCAGGCATAACAAACTGGATGTAAGAGCTTAAATAATTTCATTAGATGTGGTTAACAGCAAGGTGTGGGTAACAGCAAGATGGCCATGTGTCTTTAGTATACTGGAATAGCAGGAAATCAGGAAGAGATTAAGCTGAAGAGGTGGTTGACCAGACACTACACAGATTCTTAAGGGTTGAATAAAGATGTGTGTGTGTGTGTGTGTGTGTGTGTATAGACTATGACCTTTTGAAGGGTCTCAAACCTTGTGTAGAAAACCATTCATATTCATACTTGCGGAAATGGGAAAATTTAAGTGTTCCCATGTGGTTTTGGTATTCACGGCTTTCATAGGTAATTACTGCCTGGCATGATCTTATGTGATAAGAGATGAGCAAAGGAATTGGTTACGCAGAGCAAAGAAACTGCTTCTATGCTCTAAAATTTCCTCTATGGCCTGTTTTTTGAAAAAAAAAAAAAAAGAATTAACTAGGAAATAACTTCATGTTAAAGACTCCTTTAATCCCCATCCAAGACATTTTCTTGGTGTTACCAATGAAATTGGTGTAGACCAAAACAAAAAACAAAAAAACTATATCTTGTATTTTTCAGAATAATTTCAAAGTTATTCAAATTCTTATGATTTCTTAAATTCAAAGAAGCTTTAAAAATGTTGTAATAAGTCTCTAGAATAAAATCATTAAAATGACTGCACTGAGGGCTCCCCTCAAGTTTTTTCTCCATTTGAAAATTTATGCTGATTGGGAAGTTTGGCTGATGTTGGAGTTACCTATTTTAGAGGTTAAGTATTGTGTGCCATTTATAGTCCTTCCATTTCTATGCAGTTTGTGACTTTGGATATGTAACAGTTAGACCTGCTTTGTCAGGTGGACCTCCCCTCCTCTCCCACCTTACTCAACTCCCTGTTGTACTCTCGAATCTTACAAACTCTCTAGTGAACAATTCCTGCATCCTGAGGGCTGCTGTTTTCTTCTTCTTTTCTACTCATTGATCACAACCAATTTATTTGCTAGTTTCTTTCTCTTTTTCTTTCCTGTTAGCCACTGGGGGAATAAGTGATTGTCCTTATCCTTAAGGAGGTCACATTGTTATTAATGAATGTTTTATAATTATTTACTGCTTTGTCTCTTTATTTTGATAGAGGCTGTATCTTACTTGTATTTATGTCTAAAATAAAACATGATAATAGAACATGAAACAATCCTGTTACAATATTTTTAAACTAATAAGAACAAAACAGAGATTCTAAAACTAAACCAGCTCAAACCAGAAGTAACAGCCGATTACAGCAGTGTCAAAGCGGGGTTTCTCATGCATGGCAGGGAGACATCCCTCTGAACTGCAGGGTTGCTCACTGAGATTCCTCTCCAGAGAGCAGGAGGTTCAGGCCTCAGCCCAGAGGATAATGTGTGTTTCCACCAATCTGGCAACAGTATAAGAGCAAGGAAGGTGGAGCCAGAAACTCAGCGACAAGCATCCCTTCTCTCTCCTCTGCATTTCTCTTGGTTCTCAGTGTTATGGCGAACCAGCTCTTCCATAACTAAGATAACATGCTGAACTCTTATCAGAAGCTAACATTTCATTTGAAGCCTGTTTATGCTCAGATATTTTTTTACCGTAGATGTTAAAATATCAGCCACAATCCTAAACTCCAAAAGAAAAACAAACAAACCCCAAACAGACAAGACATATTAGTACCTGAAAAATTTTGTTAGCACCATTTTATAGTCTTTGGAGGTAAATCAGGATAGATGCAGAAGCCATATTCATATGTGCCAACTGAGACAAATTATTGAGTTTCTTCACATATTTTATAAACACTATCTTATTTTTAATGAAATATGCAGCTATGTGAGACAAAATTTATTTTTGATTTGCATTTTCCAGGTAATTGCTTTGATTCTGTACTATCTGTGGAACATAATCAGGGTTCTTCTTATTGAAGACAGCTACTTATCTACAATATTTTGCTGTGAAGATTAGAGTAAGAAGGTGATGCAAGGCAGCAGATAGCATTGAAAAATATGCTTGTAAAGGGATTTTAAAAATAGATATGATGCAATTAGATTACTTTAGCTTATTTCATAGTTTTGGAGATCTGAATTGGATTAGCTATATTGCAGAGTTCCAATGACACGACTTTGGAATTGGGTAAAGTTTCCATGACAAGGCATCTTTCTCTGAGGCTAATAGCCACAGCATTAAAAGTTTGGAGAGGTTCTCTCCCATAGTTTCAGTGAGGTCAAAGACAGTTCTCCCTGCTGCTTCTGAAAAAGGATGTCTGATCAAACTGTTTCAAATTGCTGAATAACCAGGCAATGCTGCCTATCTCCAATAGCATACTCTCAATCCATATTTCTCTCACCATGGTAAGCTTTCCAACTACTTTTCAGAAATGTTTCCCTGTGGATAGCCTTGATTTACTTAAAATCTATTACTCCTTTTAATGATTCAAGAATTCAAATATTTCAGTAGCAAAGAGAAAGCATTTTATCTTCAGAGGGAATGTCCATTTACTTCTTGGATACCTTGTGTTTGTAAAGAAGAATAAAATGAGAGTGTATGAGATATATACCTTTTTTGTGATATTGATCATATTTTCTTATCTATATTTTTAAATAATTTTATTGCTGTTAAAATCTAAATTTCTTTTTTAATGCACACTTCTTAGTACCTCTCTATACATGTTTATTCTTTAATTTACATTCTAATCTATACCCAGTTGAAAACTATGGAGCCTGAACTAACATGACTGAAATAAAATAATTGTAGTGCTTTTTTATTTAGCAATATTTTGTTCTTTAGACTTTTTTTCCCCTTCTGGGATTTTGGTACTCACTTAGAGAGTTTTGAGTCAATATTTATTTTCTTTTCCAGATTGACATTTTATGTATTTTAAGATTATAATTTAGTGAGAGATGTGAGCTCTACTTTTTTTTCCCTAGATGTTATACATACATTATTTTCTGTCTTGCTTCTAATTAAATAAAGAATAACCAACTAGCTTGATATTTTAGATACTACTATTCAGATATTTACTATTTGTTTATATGAATTGGTCTGACAATATATAAAAATGAGTTTGATAAATATATAGTATAAATAAGATGTTCCCAACACTTAGAAAGAACAAATATTTGAACAACTAAAACATTGGTATGAAAAGAGCGCTGTAATTACCTTGAATATACAGTATTCCTAGAGATCCATTAAAATCAGTCCTAGCAAACTCCAATATGAATATCTTATTAACACTTTGTTGAATTACCGAATATGCTTGAAAACAAAAGAAGTTTATTTATTGTATTCTGAAATTCACTCTTTTCAGCATTTCGGGATAAAGTGGCATCTTTATCCTATTAGTCTGGATTAATAAATTTCTGTGCATAAATGTTTATTTTTAATGTATTTGCACTCAAAATGTATATGTAATATTTAACTTAAAAGTCAGTTACAAAGGAAAATCTCTTTTTTTCTCTCTCAGGGATAGATCATCATTAAAAACTATTAATGTAACTGAAACATCATTAGAGCTTTCAGATTTGGACTATCATGTTGAATATAGTGCCTATGTAACAGCTAGCACCAGATTTGGTGATGGGAAAACAAGAACCGATATCATTACCTTTCGAACACCTGAAGGAGGTGAGTTCTTTTTGATGTAGGCCAAGTAAAAGAATACCCTACTCGAACTAAATAAAATTTTGTTTTTTGGTCACTTTTCAGCTGTGTAATGTTGGGAAAGTTAGTTAATCTCTCTGTGCCTCAATTTCCCATCTGTATTATGGAAACAATATATTATCTACTTGATAGGGTTTTCATGAGGATTAAATGAGTTTATATTTGTAAATGCACTCAAAAGAAACAAAATGAAGTGCATGGAGTCAGTTCTCTGTCCTCGTCCTCTATTATTCGATTTTAAATTCTAAGTTGTTAGAAATTCATATTATATATTCAATATTGGAAACTTGTTATAAAGTTGTTTTCAAATGCAGGGCAGCAGGCATGTTTTAGAACTGGGATAATGTTTTATGAGTCAGAAATCTACCTGTCCTCTGCTTGGATATTGCTATAGTTGGAGTGTTAGAGAGATGCCCAATGAGCCTTATGGATTTCATTTCTGACTGGTAATTAAATATATTACAAGCTAAGGTTTTTTTTTGAAAACCAATTATCATCAGTTACCAAAGGCAGGTAAAATTTAGAACATTTCAGACATTTGGAGCAATACAGTTTTTTGTTCAATTTCTTCTT